GCCCGTCAAGGAACCGACCTGTCCGCCGTTCCATGAAAAAGTTGTGAAGGTGAACGTGCTGAACTCACACTTTGGTACGTGAATGTCAAGTTGAAGGACTTGGACGTGAAGATGCAACTCGACACCTTTGCCGACGTATCGACAATCAGCCGCAGGACTTGGATGGAGTTAGGAACGCCAACCTAAGAACGCCAACCCTGAAGGCCCCGCGTGCTGAGACGAGAGTCGCAAATGGATCGTTGATCGAAGTAGTTGGAGATCGTGAGACGCCGTTCACGTGCAATGGTTTCGATGGCCAAGGATTATTTTATGTTGCAAAGGATCTGTGTTTGCTGTTAATGGACATGCTTCAACAGCTGCCGCCCTTCCGAGATTCTTCCTCTGCCATTTGCTGTGTCGTGGATGCCTCTTCGCCACTGGACGAACGCCTTTCGGCTGAGTTTCCAGAAGTTTCCAAGGAGAAGCTAGGACACGTCAACAAGTTCAGAGCCCATCTTGTGCTGAAGAAGGACGCCACGCTTGTCTACGTGCCTATACGGGAGGTACCGCTTGCCGTAGAAGCGCTTGTCAACACAGAGTTGGATCGCCTCATCGCCACTGGAGTACTGTCACCTGTGAATTACTCGCAGTGGGCCGCTCCTATCGTTCCAGTTAAGAGGAAGAATGGAGCAGTACGCATCTGTGCCGACTTTTCTACTGGCCTGAACGATGCGTTGGAGCTGAATCGACACCCACTGCCAACAGCGGAAAAGGTCTTGACTAAATTGAATGGAGGGACCGTCTTCACCAATATCAACTTGCATGACGCCTATATACTAGTAGAAATGGACGACGAAAGCCAAGAATTACTGACCAACACATTCCGGAGACTATTCCGCTACAACCGCTTACCGTTTGGTGTGAAAAGCGTTCTCGGGAATTTACAGTCACTGATGGCAACGTTGCCTGCTAACATCAATGGAGCCGTTGCCTACTGGACGACGTTGTGGCCACCGGAAGGACTCGTGAGGAGCATGACGCGAACGTCTTTAAGCTATTCCAACGTCTCCAAGACTATGGAATGCGCGTTCGCCG